TCCAGGGGTGCGGAGCCTGGGGGTGCTGAGCCTGGGGGTGCTGAGCCTGGGGGTGCTGAGCCTGGGGGTGCGGAGCCTGGGGGTGCTGGGTCTGCTCGTGTGGCCTCTTGCGGTGCTTCGTCGAGGCGGGAGCCACTCTCTCCGCAAGAGCAGCGCGAGTGGTTTGCCCCACGCTGGAGCCGTGCTGCTGGAGCTGGAGGTACTACTTTTGCTGCTGGTCCTGGAGGTGCTCGTACTGGCGGTTCTGGAGCTACTGGGACTGGGGGTGCTGCTAGGGCTGCTGGAGGTACTGCTGGAGCTGCTGGTGGTACTGGAGCTGCCGTTCCTGCTGGAGTTGCTGCTACCGGAGCTGCTCGAGCTGGAGCTGCTGGGGGTGTTGGCGCTGGTGGTGCTGCTGGCGCTGGTACGTCTGAGGGTGTTGGAGTTGGCGCTGTTGGAGCTGGAGGTGCTGCTGGCGATGGTGCTGCCGCTGGGGGTACTGGTGCTGTCCCTGCTGGTTCTGGAGCCGCTGCGTGGCCGTGGCTGTACTTTGTTCCGCTCCTCGAGCAGGTTCTTGGTCTCCCGCCCACTACTGGTCTTGCTCCTCCCTTGGAGTGTCCACAGCCTATCCAGTCGCGGTCACAGCTACAGCCCGCCTCCCCCCTACCTGCTCCTTCTCCCTACGCTGGTCCTACTGGAGGTCTTGCTGAGCGTCGTGAGCCTGCGTCTCGTCCTGCGTCGCCTGTTCGTGCTACTCGCGGTAGTCATCGTGCTCCGCGTCCGCGTCCTCCTGCGATCGCAGGCACACACCAGATGGCACTGCGTCCTTCCACTGCTCCTCTACGTGTCCCGTTGTCGTCTCCTCCAGAGTCCTCTCTTCCTGTTCTTGCTGACCCGGAGTCTGACTCTCTTCGTGCTGCCAGTCCTATTGTCACGCGTCTCATAGCTACTGTCTAGCTACTGTTGTCACTGACCCTTCCCTTGAGTCCACTGCTGCGTCGGCCCTAGTTGCTGAGCTTGTGGACTTTGCTGCTCGCTGTCGTCTAGATTACGCTGCTAGTCTTGTTGCTGAGTCTGAGTCTGTCTGTCCTCCGTCCGTCGGGGGTGAGTGTGCTCTTAGCACGGACGTCCTTGAGGACAGGCAGGAGGAGTTCCATTGTTTTGCTGCTGCTTTGCCTCATCTCGTGTCCACGCTGATTGCCCCTGAGGGAGACCCGGATGCACCAGACATCTCGACTCCTCGATCGTACGCTGAGGCGATCGAGGGTCCCTACTCCTCTCAGTGGCAGTCAGCCATGGACGCAGAGATGGCTTCCTGGAAGTCCACAGGCACCTACGTCGACGAGTTTCCCCCACCTGGGGCGAACATCGTCAGTGGCATGTGGATTTTCTGTGTGAAGTGGCCGCCGGGTTCTCCGCCTGTCTTCAAGACGCGTTACGTGGCTAGAGGCTTCAGCCAGCGGCAGGGAGTTGACTGCTTTTAGACCTTCTCTCCCACCCCGAAGATGACCACTCTTCGGGTGCTACTGCACATAGCCGCTTAGCGCGACTACGAGCTTCACTCTTTTGACTTCAGCACAGCTTTCCTGCAGGGCAGCCTGCACGAGGAGATCTGGCTGCGCCGCCCTCCTGGCTTCACTGGGTCGTTTCCTCCTAGTACCCAGTGGAGCCTCCGGCGGCCAGTCTACGGTCTCCCCCTGGCGCCCAGTGAGTGGCACGACACACTGAGGACTACACTTGCGGCTCTTGGGTTTGCTCCTTCTACAGCCGACCCGTCGCTGTTTCTGCGCACCGACACCTCTTTGCCGCCGTTCTACATCCTCGTGTACGTCGACGACTTGGTCTTTGCCACTGCTGACACTGCTGGACTCGCCCACATGGAGTCCGAGCTGCAGAAGAGACATACATGCACAGACCTGGGTGAACTGCGCAGCTACCTTGGCTTGCAGATCACCCGGGACAGAGCACAGCGCACCATTACCCTGACTCAGTCACACATGGTGCAGCAGGTCCTTCAGCGCTTCCACTTCACGTACTCCTCGCCTCAGGCCACTCCTCTGCCTACTCGCCACTCGCTCTCAGCTCTGCCTTCGGATGAGTCCGTAGAGCCGAGTGGCCCGTACCCAGAGCTTGTTGGTTGCCTCGTGTACCTGATGACCAGCACTCGATCTGACCTTGCATACCCTCTTAGCATCTTGGCACGCTATGTTGCTCCAGGGAGACACCGACCAGAGCACATGGCTGCAGCGAAGAGGGTGTTGCGCTACTTGTGCAGTACGTCAGGCATGGGGCTAGTGCTTGGAGGGCGACGTCGAGTGGTCCTCACATGTCACGCAGATGCTTCTTGGGCTGACGACCAGGCTACGCAGCGGTCGTCACAGGGTTACACCTTCAGCCTTGGCTTCGGCTCTGTTTCGTGGCGGTCTACTCGCTCGTCTTCTGTTCTCGGCTCCAGGTGTGAGGCTGAGATCTACGCGGGGGCCATGGCTGCACAGGAGCTACGCTGGCTCACCTACCTGCTGACTGACCTAGGAGAGCCGCCTCGTTCTCCTCCAGTTCTGTACGTAGACAACAAGGCCATGCTGGCCTTGTGTCGGGAGCAGAGAGTGGAGCACAGAACGAAGCACATTGCTCTCCGCTACTTCCTTGCTCGTGAGCTGCAGCAGCGTGGTCAGGTGCGCCTTGCTTACGTGGCCTCTGAGGCCAACACTGCTGATATCTTTACCAAGGCACTTCCGCCTTGTGATCATCAGCGCTTCTGTACGATGCTAGGTCTTGTGCCTACTTGGCCTCACTTGCTCACTTCTTGACCTTGCTTGTACTGTGATCTTTCTATACGTGCACTTGCTTGTTTACCTTTATATATATGATCTTGCATGTGAACTGGCCTTGTGGCCTTACTTTTGTGCTGGGACTGTGTGGTGACGTTGTGATCCACCCTGAGTTTGCTTTGCTTTGCTTGACTGGTCTTGTGACCTCTTGTTCTCCCCCACTTTGCCTATGGGGGTGTGTCAAACTCATATTCTATAGTCTGTGTAGGTTGTAGTGGGGTAGACAATATGGGGTACAACACTTTTAGGTTTTCCTACTTGTACCCACCTGCTTGCTAGTTCACTCATTCCTCATTTCTTCATCTTTGTTTGTCCCGGCTGCACGATAGAATTTAGTACAAACAGTTAGTGGAAAGAGCGCAAGAATATCAGTTATGTATAAATATTTGTCTTTGAAACACTTACGTTTTTTCAATTAGCTTGAAAATCGGAAAGTGTGTCAGGATTTCGGGAAGTGTGTCAGAATTTCAGAAAAATGTGTCAGAATCTCGGAGAGAGTGTCAAAGGTTTCTGCTTCAATATTCGTCAATTAAGTCTGACGCGTGCGGGAAAAACCAGAATCTGGGTAATTTTGGGCGGGGGTTTCTTCTAGTTATCATTCGCGTGATGGGCTGCTAATGTATAGTTACCATACGCGTTAAGCGAGTTACCAAACGTGTTAAACGAGTTACCAAATGCGTAAAGCGAGTTACCAAACGCGTTGAAATCGTTACTGTACGCGTTATAGTGCCCCATGTAAGTTACCATTGACATATTTTCCCCTTATGTTATGCAATCAGTGATTGTGAATGAAATACCAATGTATATTTACCATCCATCTTGTTAGTGCGGATGTGGCTGACCACGGTTTTTACACTTTCAAGGTCCGATGCTTGATCAAGATCCTGATTATTGTGTGGTGGTTGTTGTGGTTGACGCGAAGTTCGTTATTGGCCGACTAGGAATATGCTGAAGCATTGAACCGGAATGATTCTTCATTGATTACAGTGAACGATTACGAAGCTTAGCATATTCCACAGTCCGACTGATCTCAGAATCGGCATCCCTATCCCCAGTCTCCTTTCCTCATTGGATTCCTCCACCACTCCCTCGAGGTTGGGTTTCCTTTCGCGCCCAACCTCGGTGGTGTCGCCCTTGGTGTTGCCATTTTTAGCTGTGGAACCGTGAGGAGTCTTCAGTGCCTAGGTATGGTTGAGAATTCCCCCGTTTCTTCGAAAGCTTGATGCTTCAGAGCGATTCAGCTTCGCTGATCTCACCGTAACTTGAGAAGCTTGACGCTCCAGCTTTCAAGCTGAAACCATGGACTTCTCCAAGGCAGCAGGAGTTGCTGCTATCCTCATTTTACCTTCGACTAGGCAGAATGCGAGCGACGCACTTTCAGAAAAAGAGTCATGGAAAGGCTGTGAACCAGTGCGCGTACACAGGAAGACCTTTATTCATGGCGACTCGCGAGATCTGCGTGACGACGTCGGCTACGTTCCTCCTCGAGTCCTGTCCCCACTGGTAGACGCGCTCTGCTGGGCTCAGGAGCATTGTCAGCTAATGCTGTCAGGAGATTCACAGTTGTCCGTCGAATGCTCCTTCATTGTGGCGATTTCAAGCCTTCTATACCTGGCTGTCTCGTTCGCCTTCTTGAAGCAAAACTGTGTTCTTCTCGCGGTGATGTTTTTACTAGTCACGATCACCAGCCTTTTCTCTGACAGTCTATGTTCCGGGTCCCGGTTCTGGTGCGCTACGGACCGTATCGTGGCAACAATGTGTGGTAAGTACTCTTGTTGTAGATTCATCCTTTTCCTTTTTATTGGAAGCTTTTATATATTGTGGCCTGCGTTCTGCGCAGCTATATGGTGTCCTGGACGGGCAATCGCCTTTTATGCAGAGGACTGCTTTCATGCGCTGCAGATTACATCATTATCATTTTTCTCCGTATCATTTTTGGCATGGAGCAGAAAATCCACCACCCAGAGTCAATATGTATTACGGCACACATGCTGGCACCTCGTCAGCTCTGCAAGCCTAGTCTGGCTGGCGTGTAGCGTTGAGTTTTAGTGTCTAAATACGCATTCAATTGTGACAAATTTGACAGTAATTGGTACGGACTAAGCTTATGTTATTGTAATGTTCATCTTTGAAGTGCGTCAAAGCAGGTGGCGAAATCTCAAGCTGCAAATGTTTATGTGCAAGCAAACATTAGAGGCTGTGAATCAACCTAGCTGCGTCAAAGCAGTGGATTGCAGCAAGGCGCACACGAGATCGTGGAGGAGGATGAGCGTGAGCATCCCTGAAACCATCAATGTCTTTTTCCAGCTCCAGCAGACACCTTTCTACCATGGCCTCGCTGGGACGCCACTCCTCCTGTGCTTCAATGCCCTGAAGACCACAAGGGTATGAAAAGAGCTTTACAAAGCGAATGAAGATTGCGTGGGCGATTATGGGGACCGATCGCGCTCAAGACGGGAACTGAGAGAAGTATTTGGAATTTGGCAAACCTGAATATTTCGTGCTGAACGCTAAGCTTACATGCACAGGATGTCCCAGCATGGCCAAGAGCCCCACGTGAACGCGATCCACCACCATTGTCCCTGCAGCTGCCAAACTATCCCCAGTGATGCCGACCTTGCCGCTGCTGGCACGCTCAAGCACGGACCCATATGTACGAAGGAATGAGACCATGGCGTCGCCCGTCGGGACAACGGGAGTCGGCTCGGTATCAATCGGATCCGTGGCTCCTGGTTGCTCGGACGCTGAACGAGCCGGACTGGCTACGGCACCTGCAGGAACACAATGAAACAAGGGTCAGGGGTTACAGAGAGAGGGGTCTTAAGATCCAAATTTCCCTCGGACAATCTCTCTTGGACGCCAGTGGAAAATCACAACCGATGAGGGCCTTACGTGTCAATGTAGCTGGTGGAGCGGTTGGCCCGGCGTTGGATGGCATGGAAGTTAAGGCTGGAAGAGGCTTGAAGCACGTGGCGAAAGGCAGCGGCGATAGTCGACTCCGTTGCTCTGGTGCTTGTTGAAATGGCATTGCTTTTAGAGCTTCAGCGGCGGATCCCGCCACCGTGCAACGGAGATTGACGACTGGCGAAGCCATTGTGTGGGACTTACTGACGGTAATTGAAAGGCCGGGCTAATCACGAATCAATCACAAATCGAGAATGACTGTTCACGTAGTGACAGCTAGGCGTATCCAAGCAACGGCCCTTGGGTGATAGCAGCCTTGCTCTCCCTAGCTGAGTACTGAGCAGCCTTTTCTCGACTTGCGATTCCGTGACTGTGTTGAGAACACCACCTGTCCCTCTCTTGTTTTACCACTTGTTGATCGCCTTCATAATCGAAAGTCCGCAAGCAAGGAACTCCCTGCAGGAACACACTCCCTCGAGCGGCCCCCCATGAACCAACTTGCGCACCCTCGAATGGACAACAGACCTCTGCCTGCAGGGGAAACCCGCATTGTCATGTCACTACCGTGTTCACCAGGCCACCTCCGGATGCGCAATAGCACTGCCGCTATTGCGGCAGGTTGGGTTCGGGGTGTCAACTATCAAACATCCGCCAACAACACTCACTTTGCGGAGCCGAACTCTTTGGACAGCTGTCGAGGTTTGTGGGTGAAAATTGTCCCAACGATTTCACGGGGCTCTTCGGGGCACCGTGAGGTACAATCTATTCTAAGATTGTGTGGCTGACACTCTCCCTCTCGCATACGAATGTGTGCTTGCGATGCAATTGGTTACCAGCGCGGAGCGACGATGGGGACCCATTAGGGGACAGGTCAATGCGTGTGAGGAAATCGTCTTATGTGGAGCCTCCACTTGACAAATGGACCGAGGATGCCTGCAAGGTACACTTCAAAATCCACAGAAGAAAACGTAAATGTGATACCAATAAGAACACAATCATATAGCTTCACAAAATCAAATACAGCTAGAAACGCAACTATTTTAAAAAAGAGAATATCAACCAGTCGCTTTTTGTGTAGATTGCGATTTTCTCAAAAATTCACAATGCTGGTTGTTACGAGTGCAATTGAGTGAAAGAATGAGAATTGCACTATCGAAGCAAGAGTACAATGAGCGAAGAATATATAGCGAAACTACAACAGTAACCGTAATGGACTGAGGTTGTCGCGCGACGGGCCTGGGACTGAGGTTGGGAAAAAGTGTCGAAGCGGAGGCCCGGAGCGCGGGTTACCCGCCGAGCCGTGAGGTCGGGGTACGACGCGCGAAGTTGGCGGGCGGATTGTGGATGCGAGGGTGGGGAGTGGTAACAGTGCTGACTGTGGTGCTACAGTGATGTACGCGTTGAGCAGGGATGCGAAGTAAGGAAAATGGATTTTCCTTACACTACCCCCCCTCCTAAGGAGGTCCTCCTTACGAAAGTGCGTGTACATCCCTGAAATTTCGGCTGCGCAGATACTCAGTGAGGACGGGGTGGGCTTCGATTCTGTCCAGGGGAACCCAATTGTCTTCGGTGGGTGTACGGTCCTTCCAGCGGAGTAAGAACTCGATCCTTCGGACTCAGTGATTTATTGCGTCTACTGCCCGGGTCCGTGCTGCTTGTAATATTCCGGCAAACTGTTGTGCTCGTGGTACTGGGTTGTCGGGATTCGGGGTCATGGGTACTGTCGGGTCTTGTCCGTAGTTTAGGTAAAATGGTGACTATTGGGTCGTGGCGGATGGCGAGTTGTTGTACGCGAATTCGATTAGTGGCAGTTGCTGTTCCCATGTGGTCCGGTCGTCACACGTGGCCCTGATGAGCTGTTCCATGGTCTGATTTGTCCGTTCTGTCTGTCCGTCGGTTCCGGGGTGGTATGACGAACTGAACTACAGTAGCGTGCCGAACTGCTGCCACAGGTTCCGCCAGAAGTTGCTGGTGAATTTCGTATCGCGGTCGCTGATGATCGCAGCTGGTATCCCGTGCAGTCTGACGGCGATGGAGATGAAGAGGCGTGCTGTTTCTTTGGTTGTGATTGATTTTTTGCAGGCTGCGAAATGTGCCATTTTCGTCAGTCGATCGATCGCGTCGTTCCCACTCGCCCCGGCTGGTAACCCCGTGACGAAGTCCATCGTCACCTGCTGCCAAGCACGCTCTGGGGGTGATATCGGCTGTAACTGTCCCGCAGGCCGCTGTCGTGATGATTTCATGAGCTGACAAGTGGGACGCGATGCCACGTGTCGCTGTACGTCAGTCAACATTTCGGGCCAGTAATAATACCGTTGCAGCTGCTGCCGTCTTTTTTCTACTCCGAAATGCCCCGAGGTAACTCCGTCGTGTGCCTCCTGTAACAGTGATTCCCGTAGCAGTGTATACCCAGGCACCCAAATGCGGTCAGTTCCGTTTTTTACGTAATAGACTCCCTTTGCTGCTGCGAACTGCTGCGAATTTCCTCCTGTGAAGAATGGGTCCGTTTGGTACCCGTGGGTAAATAGGCCTGTCAGGAGCGGGCTTGTCTGGGCGAGTAGTATTGCGTGGATCTGGGCAGTGGGGCGGGTCATTGCGTCGGCGATGTTTGAGAAGAAACGAGAATGAATGAACTATGAATGAATTGGGTACAAGTACTAACCCTAATTAGGTTGTACCCCTTATGGGCTACCCCACTATAGCCTACACAATATGCATGAGCTATAATGTTGTGACAATGTTCGAGGCTCCCTTTTTGTAAGTGACCGTGTAGTGAAAATTGGACTCGAGGAAATCGAGCCAGCGAATCTGTCGTGGGTTGAGGTGTGGCTGTGCGCGAAGGTACTGTACTGATTTATGGTATGTCCGTATTGTCACGTCCGTGCCAGTCAAGTAACAACGCCATACTTTGAACGCGTGCACGATCGCAAGCATTTGGCGGTCGTGTATCGGGTAATTTTTCTCGGGCGGATGCAGTTTTTGTGACTCGTATGCGATAGGCTGTAGGCCATTGCCGAAATCCTGTAGCAGTACGGCTCCGATGGCGATATCGCTTGCGTCGGTAACTACTTCGAATGGGCGGTGTGGGTCGGTGATGCGCAGGACGGGCGGTGAACAGAGAACATTTTTCAGGGCAGAGAAGGCAGCATGCTCTTTCTCCCCACATGTAAAAGCGACCCCCTTCCGCAGTAAATCCGTCAGTGGGGCAGATAACCGTGCCATATCGGGGACGAACCGACGCACATAATTAACGAACCCTAAAAAGCTCTGCAGCTCCGTGATGTTCGTCGGGGGATGCCACGCTTTTACCGTATCCAACTTTTTTGGGTCGATTTCAACTCCAGCCTCCGAAATAACGTGCCCCAAAAATTCTAACCTATCCTGGAAGAACTCGCACTTGGAACCCTTGGTCAGTAATTTGTACTTGTCTAAAACCTTAAATACTGCTTCCAGATCTGCTAAGTGCTGCTGCTTATTCCGACTGTAAACTAGGATGTCGTCGACGTACACGATCACGCATTTATCTAAGAGCGGCCTAAATGCCTCGTTCATGGTCATCTGAAAAGTCGCCGGTGCGCTGGTCAGCCCGAATGGCATCACAGTGTACTCGAACGACCCATACCTAGTCCTGAAAGCTGTTTTGGCGCAGTCCGATGGTTCGACCCTAATTTGATGGTAACCTCCCCATAAATCTATTTTCGAAAAAACCCGTGCTGTTCGCAGTTGGTCGATGAGTTCGTCGGCGCGGGGAATGGGGTACCGCAACTTGACTGTTACCCTGTTCAGTGCTCTGTAATCGATACACATGCGAAAACCCCCGTCTTTCTTCGGCGTGAATAGTATCTGTGCGGCGAACGGTGACGAGCTCGGTCTGATGAATTTTTTCTCTAACGGGTAATCTAACTGCTTCCTTAGTTTGTGGAGCTCGGGCTGTGTCAGTCTGAACTGGCGCTGTACGGTTGGCTGTGCCCCCGGTTCTAATTCGATTCGGTGGTCATGTGCTCGTTGGGGTGGCAATCTTTCCGGTAAGTCGTCGGGGAAAATCCTGGGGTATCGTTTCAACAGTTCCTGTAATTTGGGCGGTACAGCTGCCGGCAGTTTCTTGAAATCACTCAGCTGCTCTGCTTCCTCTACTACTGCGATGTCTACTCCGTACACGTCAGCTCCAGAAGTGAGAGCCCGTTTCATTGTGATGACTCGGGTGATTGCCAGCGAGGTAGCTCGACCCAGTTACCACTACTTCGCACGGTGCAGCTACCCGTCGTCCAGTGAATTCGCGGGTTATACCGTCGCAGCCAATCACATCCCAGTAAAATATCATGCCCATCCAGTGTCGTTGCGAGCATTTCCTGTGTAAACCCGAAATTTCCCCCGCAGCGGACTTTGACTCTTTCTACCTTTTCCCGTATGGCCAGTGGCGTGCCGTCGACTAAGCGCGCGTCTATCTCCGGTAAACAACGGCTAAGTATCAGCTGCAGTTTTTGTGCGGTTGCGGTATTAACTAAACTGTGGCTTGCTCCTCCGTCGATAAAAATCTTCACTGCTGCTCCCTGTATTTTCCCGTGGATCAGTACTGGGCAATCTGTCGCTGTACCCTCCTTATTCGTCCGAGTCCGATCGATAGCATGAATCGGTACTGTAACTCGGTGAGGGTCGCTGGGGTTGGGCATGTCAGAACTTATAGCTTACTTGTTTCTGTAGGCTATAGTGGGGTATCCCATAGGGGGTACAACCCAATTAGGGTTTCCTATTTGTACTCACTTCGTTCATAGTCATTCCACTTCTCGTTCGTACTTTCTCATGGAATCAGAGCAGGTCCCTTCCTAGGGCCTGTTCCTAGGGCCCACCGAAGCGCGCCCCGAGGCGCGCATTTTTTTTAGCGACCCTCCGAGTCGCCCCTCCCGTCGTGCTCCCGCTTAGGCCCCTCGTCGGCCCCCGCTTAGGCCCCTCGTCGGCCCCTGCTACAGCCCGCCACCGGCCCTGCTACAGCCCACCACCGGCCCTGCTACAGCCGCCACCGGCCCCTGCTACAGCCCGCCGCCGGCCCTGCTACAGCCCGCCGCCGGCCCTGCTACAGCCCGCCACCGGCCCTGCTACAGCCCACCACCGGCCCTGCTGCAGCCC